GTATTCTGAATACAACTTTCGCTCATTTTCAAGGACAGCGCACACATTTGCATTTCAATACAGTGCACACTGTCTACCCCTTGATACCGTCAATGACTGCTTTGACAAAAATTGACACGCCTGCTTATTTGTTTCGCTGCATGTTTTTAAAATGCAAATTGAAATACAGACAGCCAATTCCAGATATTATGGTACTTCAAATGGCCATCAAACCCTTTCCTGGCAGCCCAAATGATACATTCCCGTGAAACATGAACTCGGGTAAGTGACATTTGGTGGGAGATATATCAAGCATAAAATCCCTCCTCTTATCATCATGTCCGGTTTCCTCAGGAACTTAATAGCACATTTCAGTAGTTGATATCTTAGCTAGCAGTAAAACGCAATATCATTGAAGTGTGCTTGGATATTGGTCGACAACACGTACTATGTCCAGAGTTTACAATATGGAGAAACATAGATCACTCTTCCATTGTGAACATTCAATTCAGATTAAGATTTTCAAACAAATTTCAAGGCGTAAATAAATATGACAAGATTTTATTGAACCAATTCCATTGGTTTGAGAAAATACATAAATAGCCAGCATCACACTGCAGGTGATAATAACTCAATAATAGCCGATACCTGAAACAAAAAAATAGTAGAATAAAGTTGGGATGTATGGATAAGTCACAACGAAGTCTTGAAACTAGCTGCATGATAAACTATACCAAATATTAGAGAAAGCAGAGAATAGTTTTAAAGATGTTTTGTAAATGTCATCAGCTTTGTCGCTGAAAATAGTAATACCACATAGGTAAATTATGCAATTTTGCAAACGAGACTGGAGGTATATTTACGGATACGATAAACAAATGATATCATATTTTGTGAAATACCTTTTCCCAATCCAATTCCGTATCCTCCCATTCCGTAGAGACCACCATAGCCCCCGAGTCCTCCGTACAGACCTCCCATGCCGTATCCGTATTTGCCTCCGTATAGACCTCCCATGCCTCCGTATATACCTCCCATGCCTCCGTATAGACCTCCCATGCCTCCGTATAGACCTCCATAGCCTCCAAGACCTCCAAGGCCTCCGTACAATCCACCCATTCCGTAGCCAATTCCGCCCAGTCCTCCTTTCAACCCGCCAATTCCACCATACAGACCGGTAGGCTCGGCAAAGGCGGTAACAGCCAGGCAGGCAACAAGAGCGGCGACTATCTTCATCATTTTGAGTATCTATTGAGTAACGGGAAAATTATTGTCAAGAAAGGTAAAATAGCATGTTATCGTTACTCATCTGGTAAATTCAGTTCACACCACTCATTGTGAATTATGTTATCAGTTTTGCTTTCACCCGCATTCATATATTTCTCAATTTACAAGAACGTCTTATGTTACATATTCGGACTTTTATGAATTGGCTCAACATAAAGATTGAAAACAGCCTGATGCGCAGCAGATGAATCAAAAATTAAAAGTATACATATATATCACAAGCAAAATTTAAATTAGTACTTGCAGTTTGGTCTTTACTCGTATCTGTGTCTCAACGGCAGGTGAAGATAAGAGATGATGGAACAGTTTCCCCCGTCCTTTATATATACCATTTGTGAATTATACGTGATTGATTTACCTTGGGCTGACCACTTCCAGGTAAGTAACGCACCTCAGCTTAATGGTGTTAAGTAAGCATTCTTTTCGCATCAAAGGGCCCGAGGTTATCACCCTACGGGTACACATGCGAGCTGGTATCCATGAACATCGATTAAGGAAGTACAAGACAACGTATATAAAGGTGGCAAACAGACACACTCTCTCTGGCATCGTCGAGCTGCATTTCAAACAGTCCTCGATACTCAATGTTTAACCTATATTATTTAGGGGCGGTCGGGTAGCCTAGTGGTTAAAGCGTTCGCTCGTTACGCCGAAGACACGGGTTCGATTTCCGACATGGGTACAATGTGTGTAGCCCATTGCTGGTGTCCCCCGCCGTGATATTGCTGGAATATTGCTAAAAGTGGCGTAAAACCATACTCACTCACTCACTTTAACCTATATTAAGTAAATATTCGATAATGGTCTGAAAAGTGTGTATCCAGTAAATATATGATGTGGGAGCAACATACATCAGACATTATAATGCATCTGTGTGATACGACATAACATGAGACCAGAAAACTGATGCAACACACCAGTACAGCCTCGCCACAGTACAGCAGTAGCACTGTACCACACGAGGTCAACTATGCTAACCGTTTCCGTGTAATACAGCAGCCTGCTCACAAGAAAATAGCTTCTGCTGAATATACTGCAGAAGTCCCCAGATACTACGTTATTCTCCCCGAATTTTATTTATCTTACTGCACAATAACTATAAACTACAACAGCTTTATTTCCTAACTGAAAGGGACATATATTGGTTTCTTCTCACAAAGGGACTGTCACTATGAATACTCACAACACCTTTATATGTGTGTAGTATCTGTTAAAAGCCGAAAGTACACCAGTGTCTTCTGAAAACATGATTGACATATGAACAACAGCTTGTTTTCTCGTCTTTGTTGACTTGTCTTTGTATGTGTTTGTGACGGTAGAACCGATGGGGCAGGATACGCTTACTTTTTGGCAACCGCCAGGTATCATCACTATCTGGTTGGTTAGTTGGTTGGTTGGTTGTTTAACGCTGCACTCAGCAATATATTACTGCTATATGACGGCGGTCTGTAAATAATCGAGTCTGGACCAGACAATCCAGTGATTAAAATCATTAGCATCGATCCACCCAATTGGGATCGATGACATGCATCAACCAAGTCAGCGAGCCTGACCACCCGATCCCGTTAGTCGCCTTTTACGACAAGCATAGTCACCTTTTACGGCAAGCATGGGTTGCTGAAGACCTATATATTCTACCCCGGAATCCACTATCTGATAGTCATTCATACGCACATGCTTGTGATCATTATAGTCGGAATCGTACAATGGCCTCTGCTTCGAGCAGAGCTTTCGAATGATTCTGAAAAGGGTTTTGTGGCGTTTATTTGCAACTGCGTTTCTTGAGAGAACTCTCTTATCTTCAACATATCATCTTGATAATTGTACACTTCATTATCAAGGAATTTGTGATTATACGAGCATCACTAAATTTGATATCTCAACTTTTATAGATAACGCCTGAATATTGATATAATAATCATTCAATGATGACCCTTTAACTACATAAATCGTCAACGACAGAGAATATTCAGGCTCGATTATCTGTTGAAACAGATTTCATTGGGTGTAAAAGGCAAGATTGTGCTAAAATGTATACTGAATATCAGTGATGTCACCAGGTGTTAGTGAATAGTTCATATTTGTTGGATGTTTCATGAGCTCCTCCGTCCGTTCCATCGTGTGCCAAATTGGGAGAATGTTGTCTTTTGACAATGTCTCAGCCATTCATACTTTTGCATATATACTTAATCACTGTTGCAAATAACTCACGTTAACGTGTTTTAATCTTCGGCTGAGTCTTAGGTCGTAAACATTAGAAGAAAGTATATAAATCGTCTCTACCCTTTACGTATGCCCTTGACATGATGAAGCAGTAGTGATAGTGATGATTGTGTTCTTTTAAGTCGTGTTTAGACCAAAACTCTTACCAAGAATAAAACACGCGCAAATCAGTTTGACAATGTGTAACTATATAAGGGTTGCCCAGAAAAACCGTACATCTAAAAGTAAAGACGTGTGTTTTCAGAAGAAAATGCTCTTAAAGTATAACACAAAGGTGTTTTCAAAGATAGACATGATCAAACGACTTGTTTTTACAGTCTGGTTGTTGTTATAAAGACTTATGACACGCTTTAAAGTTGGACCATTTATTCCGCTGAATTTCACTCTCTACAGTTACCAAATGCAATCTCCTTTGTATTGATAAATGATTGTCACTTCTGCTTTGTAATCAAACAAAAGGGATATATTAGCTATTTGTTTGTTCATTGTAATCTTCAATCCTACCAATCCAGTTCGGAATCTTCAAATTCGCGCTCTGATTTAATCAATATGTATTTTACAAATAGCGCCTACAGGGAAGGTGGTTAGTAAACACACAACTAAATATCTATATAGATACTTCTCCTATTAATTACATAAGCAGTATGCAAAATGTTAAATTGCATCATCAAATCAAGAAGTACATGTTTGATGGAAATTACAAATAATTCGTAGTTTGATAAGCTATACCCGGACAAGCGTATTTAATAGATACTTTTGAATTCAATCGTTTTGTTTGTGTAATTGATAAACTGTAAAGATATGTTATTGTCATGGAAATTCCAACTGTATGCATTCCCTTCTAACCAAAGCAGTAAGAATCTTGCAACATTTGTTTTGATGCTCTACATCACTATGGCTTTCGGGTTTGTTTTATTGCAGCAGCTCAGATATTATTTATACAAAGCGCCATAACAACATGTAGATTGTATTCTGAATACAACTTTCGCTCATTTTCAAGGACAGCGCACACATTTGCATTTCAATACAGTGCACACTGTCTACCCCTTGATACCGTCAATGACTGCTTTGACAAAAATTGACACGCCTGCTTATTTGTTTCGCTGCATGTTTTTAAAATGCAAATTGAAATACAGACAGCCAATTCCAGATATTATGGTACTTCAAATGGCCATCAAACCCTTTCCTGGCAGCCCAAATGATACATTCCCGTGAAACATGAACTCGGGTAAGTGACATTTGGTGGGAGATATATCAAGCATAAAATCCCTCCTCTTATCATCATGTCCGGTTTCCTCAGGAACTTAATAGCACATTTCAGTAGTTGATATCTTAGCTAGCAGTAAAACGCAATATCATTGAAGTGTGCTTGGATATTGGTCGACAACACGTACTATGTCCAGAGTTTACAATATGGAGAAACATAGATCACTCTTCCATTGTGAACATTCAATTCAGATTAAGATTTTCAAACAAATTTCAAGGCGTAAATAAATATGACAAGATTTTATTGAACCAATTCCATTGGTTTGAGAAAATACATAAATAGCCAGCATCACACTGCAGGTGATAATAACTCAATAATAGCCGATACCTGAAACAAAAAAATAGTAGAATAAAGTTGGGATGTATGGATAAGTCACAACGAAGTCTTGAAACTAGCTGCATGATAAACTATACCAAATATTAGAGAAAGCAGAGAATAGTTTTAAAGATGTTTTGTAAATGTCATCAGCTTTGTCGCTGAAAATAGTAATACCACATAGGTAAATTATGCAATTTTGCAAACGAGACTGGAGGTATATTTACGGATACGATAAACAAATGATATCATATTTTGTGAAATACCTTTTCCCAATCCAATTCCGTATCCTCCCATTCCGTAGAGACCACCATAGCCCCCGAGTCCTCCGTACAGACCTCCCATGCCGTATCCGTATTTGCCTCCGTATAGACCTCCCATGCCTCCGTATATACCTCCCATGCCTCCGTATAGACCTCCCATGCCTCCGTATAGACCTCCATAGCCTCCAAGACCTCCAAGGCCTCCGTACAATCCACCCATTCCGTAGCCAATTCCGCCCAGTCCTCCTTTCAACCCGCCAATTCCACCATACAGACCGGTAGGCTCGGCAAAGGCGGTAACAGCCAGGCAGGCAACAAGAGCGGTGACTATCTTCATCATTTTGAGTATCTATTGAGTAACGGGAAAATTATTGTCAAGAAAGGTAAAATAGCATGTTATCGTTACTCATCTGGTAAATTCAGTTCACACCACTCATTGTGAATTATGTTATCAGTTTTGCTTTCACCCGCATTCATATATTTCTCAATTTACAAGAACGTCTTATGTTACATATTCGGACTTTTATGAATTGGCTCAACATAAAGATTGAAAACAGCCTGATGCGCAGCAGATGAATCAAAAATTAAAAGTATACATATATATCACAAGCAAAATTTAAATTAGTACTTGCAGTTTGGTCTTTACTCGTATCTGTGTCTCAACGGCAGGTGAAGATAAGAGATGATGGAACAGTTTCCCCCGTCCTTTATATATACCATTTGTGAATTATACGTGATTGATTTACCTTGGGCTGACCACTTCCAGGTAAGTAACGCACCTCAGCTTAATGGTGTTAAGTAAGCATTCTTTTCGCATCAAAGGGCCCGAGGTTATCACCCTACGGGTACACATGCGAGCTGGTATCCATGAACATCGATTAAGGAAGTACAAGACAACGTATATAAAGGTGGCAAACAGACACACTCTCTCTGGCATCGTCGAGCTGCATTTCAAACAGTCCTCGATACTCAATGTTTAACCTATATTATTTAGGGGCGGTCGGGTAGCCTAGTGGTTAAAGCGTTCGCTCGTTACGCCGAAGACACGGGTTCGATTTCCGACATGGGTACAATGTGTGTAGCCCATTGCTGGTGTCCCCCGCCGTGATATTGCTGGAATATTGCTAAAAGTGGCGTAAAACCATACTCACTCACTCACTTTAACCTATATTAAGTAAATATTCGATAATGGTCTGAAAAGTGTGTATCCAGTAAATATATGATGTGGGAGCAACATACATCAGACATTATAATGCATCTGTGTGATACGACATAACATGAGACCAGAAAACTGATGCAACACACCAGTACAGCCTCGCCACAGTACAGCAGTAGCACTGTACCACACGAGGTCAACTATGCTAACCGTCTCCGTGTAATACAGCAGCCTGCTCACAAGAAAATAGCTTCTGCTGAATATACTGCAGAAGTCCCCAGATACTACGTTATTCTCCCCGAATTTTATTTATCTTACTGCACAATAACTATAAACTACAACAGCTTTATTTCCTAACTGAAAGGGACATATATTGGTTTCTTCTCACAAAGGGACTGTCACTATGAATACTCACAACACCTTTATATGTGTGTAGTATCTGTTAAAAGCCGAAAGTACACCAGTGTCTTCTGAAAACATGATTGACATATGAACAACAGCTTGTTTTCTCGTCTTTGTTGACTTGTCTTTGTATGTGTTTGTGACGGTAGAACCGATGGGGCAGGATACGCTTACTTTTTGGCAACCGCCAGGTATCATCACTATCTGGTTGGTTAGTTGGTTGGTTGGTTGTTTAACGCTGCACTCAGCAATATATTACTGCTATATGACGGCGGTCTGTAAATAATCGAGTCTGGACCAGACAATCCAGTGATTAAAATCATTAGCATCGATCCACCCAATTGGGATCGATGACATGCATCAACCAAGTCAGCGAGCCTGACCACCCGATCCCGTTAGTCGCCTTTTACGACAAGCATAGTCACCTTTTACGGCAAGCATGGGTTGCTGAAGACCTATATATTCTACCCCGGAATCCACTATCTGATAGTCATTCATACGCACATGCTTGTGATCATTATAGTCGGAATCGTACAATGGCCTCTGCTTCGAGCAGAGCTTTCGAATGATTCTGAAAAGGGTTTTGTGGCGTTTATTTGCAACTGCGTTTCTTGAGAGAACTCTCTTATCTTCAACATATCATCTTGATAATTGTACACTTCATTATCAAGGAATTTGTGATTATACGAGCATCACTAAATTTGATATCTCAACTTTTATAGATAACGCCTGAATATTGATATAATAATCATTCAATGATGACCCTTTAACTACATAAATCGTCAACGACAGAGAATATTCAGGCTCGATTATCTGTTGAAACAGATTTCATTGGGTGTAAAAGGCAAGATTGTGCTAAAATGTATACTGAATATCAGTGATGTCACCAGGTGTTAGTGAATAGTTCATATTTGTTGGATGTTTCATGAGCTCCTCCGTCCGTTCCATCGTGTGCCAAATTGGGAGAATGTTGTCTTTTGACAATGTCTCAGCCATTCATACTTTTGCATATATACTTAATCACTGTTGCAAATAACTCACGTTAACGTGTTTTAATCTTCGGCTGAGTCTTATGTCGTAAACATTAGAAGAAAGTATATAAATCGTCTCTACCCTTTATGTATGCCCTTGACATGATGAAGCAGTAGTGATAGTGATGATTGTGTTCTTTTAAGTCGTGTTTAGACCAAAACTCTTACCAAGAATAAAACACGCGCAAATCAGTTTGACAATGTGTAACTATATAAGGGTTGCCCAGAAAAACCGTACATCTAAAAGTAAAGACGTGTGTTTTCAGAAGAAAATGCTCTTAAAGTATAACACAAAGGTGTTTTCAAAGATAGACATGATCAAACGACTTGTTTTTACAGTCTGGTTGTTGTTATAAAGACTTATGACACGCTTTAAAGTTGGACCATTTATTCCGCTGAATTTCACTCTCTACAGTTACCAAATGCAATCTCCTTTGTATTGATAAATGATTGTCACTTCTGCTTTGTAATCAAACAATAGGGATATATTAGCTATTTGTTTGTTCATTGTAATCTTCAATCCTACCAATCCAGTTCGGAATCTTCAAATTCGCGCTCTGATTTAATCAATATGTATTTTACAAATAGCGCCTACAGGGAAGGTGGTTAGTAAACACACAACTAAATATCTATATAGATATTTCTCCTATTAATTACATAAGCAGTATGCAAAATGTTAAATTGCATCATCAAATCAAGAAGTACATGTTTGATGGAAATTACAAATAATTCGTAGTTTGATAAGCTATACCCGGACAAGCGTATTTAATAGATACTTTTGAATTCAATCGTTTTGTTTGTGTAATTGATAAACTGTAAAGATATGTTATTGTCATGGAAATTCCAACTGTATGCATTCCCTTCTAACCAAAGCAGTAAGAATCTTGCAACATTTGTTTTGATGCTCTACATCACTATGGCTTTCGGGTTTGTTTTATTGCAGCAGCTCAGATATTATTTATACAAAGCGCCATAACAACATGTAGATTGTATTCTGAATACAACTTTCGCTCATTTTCAAGGACAGCGCACACATTTGCATTTCAATACAGTGCACACTGTCTACCCCTTGATACCGTCAATGACTGCTTTGACAAAAATTGACACGCCTGCTTATTTGTTTCGCTGCATGTTTTTAAAATGCAAATTGAAATACAGACAGCCAATTCCAGATATTATGGTACTTCAAATGGCCATCAAACCCTTTCCTGGCAGCCCAAATGATACATTCCCGTGAAACATGAACTCGGGTAAGTGACATTTGGTGGGAGATATATCAAGCATAAAATCCCTCCTCTTATCATCATGTCCGGTTTCCTCAGGAACTTAATAGCACATTTCAGTAGTTGATATCTTAGCTAGCAGTAAAACGCAATATCATTGAAGTGTGCTTGGATATTGGTCGACAACACGTACTATGTCCAGAGTTTACAATATGGAGAAACATAGATCACTCTTCCATTGTGAACATTCAATTCAGATTAAGATTTTCAAACAAATTTCAAGGCGTAAATAAATATGACAAGATTTTATTGAACCAATTCCATTGGTTTGAGAAAATACATAAATAGCCAGCATCACACTGCAGGTGATAATAACTCAATAATAGCCGATACCTGAAACAAAAAAATAGTAGAATAAAGTTGGGATGTATGGATAAGTCACAACGAAGTCTTGAAACTAGCTGCGTGATAAACTATACCAAATATTAGAGAAAGCAGAGAATAGTTTTAAAGATGTTTTGTAAATGTCATCAGCTTTGTCGCTGAAAATAGTAATACCACATAGGTAAATTATGCAATTTTACAAACGAGACTGGAGGTATATTCAAGGATACGATAAACAAATGATATCATATTTTGTGAAATACCTTTTCCCAATCCAATTCCGTATCCTCCCATTCCGTAGAGACCACCATAGCCCCCGAGTCCTCCGTACAGACCTCCCATGCCGTATCCGTATTTGCCTCCGTATAGACCTCCCATGCCTCCGTATATACCTCCCATGCCTCCGTATAGACCTCCCATGCCTCCGTATAGACCTCCATAGCCTCCAAGACCTCCAAGGCCTCCGTACAATCCACCCATTCCGTAGCCAATTCCGCCCAGTCCTCCTTTCAACCCGCCAATTCCACCATACAGACCGGTAGGCTCGGCAAAGGCGGTAACAGCCAGGCAGGCAACAAGAGCGGCGACTATCTTCATCATTTTGAGTATCTATTGAGTAACGGGAAAATTATTGTCAAGAAAGGTAAAATAGCATGTTATCGTTACTCATCTGGTAAATTCAGTTCACACCACTCATTGTGAATTATGTTATCAGTTTTGCTTTCACCCGCATTCATATATTTCTCAATTTACAAGAACGTCTTATGTTACATATTCGGACTTTTATGAATTGGCTCAACATAAAGATTGAAAACAGCCTGATGCGCAGCAGATGAATCAAAAATTAAAAGTATACATATATATCACAAGCAAAATTTAAATTAGTACTTGCAGTTTGGTCTTTACTCGTATCTGTGTCTCAACGGCAGGTGAAGATAAGAGATGATGGAACAGTTTCCCCCGTCCTTTATATATACCATTTGTGAATAATACGTGATTGATTTACCTTGGGCTGACCACTTCCAGGTAAGTAACGCACCTCAGCTTAATGGTGTAAAGTAAGCATTCTTTTCGCATCAAAGGGCCCGAGGTTATCACCCTACGGGTACACATGCGAGCTGGTATCCATGAACATCGATTAAGG